TGATGAGCGGTCTCCCGCAGAGGCCCGGTGGAGGAACTGGCAAGCCGAGCCGCTCTTGCAGCGCCCCTTCTCAAAGAAGTGGCAGAGCTGCGGCGCGCCAGCGGCGTCAACGCCCTTCCCGGCACGGCCGCCTCCGACACCGCCGCCGCCGCCGCCAGCTGCGCCACGGGCATCACCCTTGCCGCCACGGCCGCCGCGAGCGTGTCCGCCTCCGTGGCGGCCACCGCTGCGGCCGCCGCCGCGGCCGCCGCCGCCCTTGCGGCCGCCATCGCGGCCACCGCGGTGTCCCTGCCCGTGCTGCAGCTGAGGGCTCTCGGAGAACCACCAACTCGCCAACGGGTCGCCTTCGCTTGGAGGTGGGACCACGGCGCTGGCCGGACGAGCGAAGGGCACTACGGTGCTGCTGCTGGCCGACATCGCCCACCCAAGAGCGCCTGGGTTCGGACTTTTTGCGGGGTATGGGGTAAAGAGCACAGCTGCGAAAGAGCGCCAACATCCGGGGGCAGCGTGCCCGAGAGAGCGTTGTTGCTCAGGTCAAGCCGGCGAGCCCGCTCCACGCGGCGAGGCCGACGGCGGCGGCGAGGACGAGATACGGCTTGCGGTGCTGCCCGCCCGCGGATCGGCACGGCGTCGCTCACGCCGCCGAAAGTCGGAGTGGACCCGTCCACTCTGAGTGCCAAAACCAGCAGCTAGAAAAGGCTTGACGCCGACAGTCTCGAGGATGATCCTCTGGAGCTTCGGCCGAACTCCAGCAATGTCGGAGCGGATTGCAGCCAAAAGGGCAACGGAAATGCCACCAGCGCCACTGACCTTGTCGGCCTTCTCGCGGTAGATGGCCCGCAGCGCGTCGTCGGAAAAGAAGGCCTTGAGAAGCGCCTCGGTGACAAGGTTGTCGATCCGCTTGATGACGCGTTGGGAGACGACGATCTCGGCCACAACCGCAGCCTGTCTCTCAGAGACCGTCTTGTGGACAGTTCCGACCTGCGCAAAATCATCGGCGGTGGGTGACTGACTGTCATCGGCGACGAACTCGAGCAAGTCGGCAAAGGCACGCGTCTTGAGCAGCTTCAGCTCGTAGCGCGCGCAGCGCACCGCATCGTGTTGGGTGCAGCAAACAGTGGGCGCAATGTTATCTATGTAGACAGCGCAATTCGTAGTGAGGAAGAAACCGATGCCATCGCTGTGATGCAGTCGGCTCCACTCGAGAAGAGTGGCCAGGTTCGCCGCAAGCCCGTCGAGGGCGGCGGCACGGTCGAAACTGCATTCCGTCACCATTGCATCAGTTTCTTGTTTAGCGCCATGTAGGAGATCCCGAATTTCGGAATACTCCAAGGCTTTGGTGGGCGTGTCAGGCATGACAACTTGGTGTGGCCAGACGAGGCGAACCACCCCAGCGGAGATAGGCACGACGCGGAGCTCATTTCACAAAGCGACAAGTGCAACGCCAACTGTGCCTCCAACACCAATGGCCTGCAGAACTCCGTGAACGATCCACAGGACGTGATCAATCAAGGAAAGCCGGGCGTGGTCGCTCTGCGGGGCGAGATCGGTCTCAGCAGCCCTACATGCGGTGCGCTAGCGAACGACGGGTTCAAAGACACTTACACGGACGGCGTGGACTTTGGCAACGTGCTGCAGAAAGAGTACACCATGTGCTCCATCACCCGCTACTGGAAAAAGGATGGCTACCCGGGGCGCGTAGGGCCGGGGTGCAGGGACGATGTCCTGACCGGCCAAACAGATAGATGCACCAACGCCCAAACCGGGCCGCCTTATGATATGAAGCTCGAAGGTTGCATCCGATCTGTATACGGCCACTCGGGCCAAACCGTTGGCATCAACCGGGCGGGTTACAGCCAGTCAGGAGGCTGCTCATGGGGGCCCAACTGCAACATTTTGGGGTCCTACGCTGACGTATGCTGGTGTGTCGGACAGAACGGCGGATGTGTCAACGTGCATCCACGGGCGGCATACAATCAAGTCGACGACAACACCTACCAGTGGCTGGTGCTATGCGATCAGAACAGCGCCCCTACTACGCCTGGCGACTCCCAAATCAAGATCGCCAACAACGTCCAGTTTGCCAGCAACACCGCTCAGGATGCCAACAACCAGATCAACGAGCCCATTCATCTCTACATCAATCCGAACTACAAGCAAAACCCTTCCAAGGGTTTCCCATCCCACTTTGAGGTGGTGGAGGTCATCACGTGGAACAGACCGCTCTCAAATGACGAGATGCGGGCAGTCTTCAAAGAGCTGTGGGTGACCAGGATGGGCAATGAAGACAGCTGCGATTGGTTCGACCCCTCGAACAACAAGCCACCTTTTGTGACACAGGGGGGGCTGGGCACGCACCACGGTAGGTGTGATAACTTCCCGGATGAAGGACGATGCATCAACACTTTTCTGTAGGTGACTCCTTACCCGAGTTGGCGACGTATGTTTTTCCGACTATTGACCATTCGCCCTATTCAGCAGGTCCCGCGGCACGACGGCTCTCTAGATTACAACGATTGATTTGCTGTGGGTTCACTCTGTGGGGTGGTGGTTTTTGAGAACCCCTGCCATTTTTGCAAAAAATCATTCCGGTCCAAAGAGCTCCCGTCGACAACGCGAAATGTGACGACGGTTCCGTACAGTGTGAAGAGTCGAGGCAGGAAACTTCTGCAGTAGCCAGGATCCGTCTTGCGCAGCAGGGTGTACGTCAGTACTCTGAGGGTGTGAGGGAGGGTGTAGAGGATGTAGCGAGTGGAGCGCTGTAGAGCTGTAGAGCTGTAGAGCGCTGTAGAGCTGTAGAGCTGTAGAGCGCTGTAGAGCTGTAGAGCTCTAGATCCGGCGCCCCTCCGCCTCTTCCGATTCCACGGCCGCCCCGGCACGAAAGAGTCGGGTACCCAGTCGGAGAGCGAGAGAAGAGAGCCAAATGCCAAAAGTCGCGTAAATAAACATACAGACAGGACACACAGGACATAGGAAGCAGCTCCCGCACGCCGCAGCCTCGGAGGGGTCGGGCTCGGCGCACGCAACCCACATAGCCACGGACACATGGCATGGAAGAGGAGGCGAGCTCTGGCGAGGTACTTCCAGCCTGCTGTGGTTGTGTGGAAACAGCTCACGCTGTCTCCTTCGAGGGCGGCAGAGGCTCGCCCCGGCGGCTCTCCCGTGGGCCCGTGAGGCGTGGGAGTGCCTTGCCAAGGCGAGCTAGACGGCAGGAGCAGCCCAGAACGCTCGTCTACACGGGCTTAGGCGCTGCTCGCTGGCGCTAGACGGGCCTGTCCACCTCGACGCGAGGTGCTGCGCACAGTCGAGAGCCGCAGCGCTCGCGAGGAGCGGCACGCAGAAGGGGTGCTCGATCGTGGGCAGAGGGAACGTCAGCCGCCCACCCCCAAAGTGCAGCGGCAGCGGCGGGTGTAAGAAGCACCACAGCGAAGCCAGGGTTGGAGCCGGAGGGGCCCAGAGTACCGCATCAGCACAGAGCGCGAGTAGCAGCAGCAGGGCGACCGTGAGCCATTTTGGCGCGGGCGCGAGATGGGTGGCTGGCTGCAAGCCGAGGTAGGCGCCGAAGCTGCCCGCCACCACCATTATGCCCTCAGGGCTCGCCTCCAACTCCCGTGTGCGGAGTGCTGACAGTTCCTCGGGTATTTACTCGCAGATATAGCCAAGATTGAGCAGGCCCACGGCGACAGCGGCGAAGCAGGTAGCCGCGGGAGTAACCATGCCGCCGCCCGCGCGCGGTTGGGCAGCAGGTCGTGGGACCTTCATTTTTTTAGAGTTGTTTTGTTGTTTGACCTTCATCGACCGGCCGCGCCGCAGCGGGCTGCCGGGCTGCATGGCGCGCGGCCTAGCACTTCGCCTAGTGTTTTGTTCCCGGGTTCAAATCGGGGATTGCAGCGTGCACCTCGATCCTGTACCGTGTTTGTTATCTTGTTATTGCCGACCTTCACTGCCGTCTTGTTCTCTGACATGATGTTGATCGAGTTCACTCGTACCTATGAGAGGAAGGGGGGTTAAGAGGGCCGTGCAAGAAAGAAAACAAAAACATAAAAGTCAGGGATGGGAGGACGGCACGCCGAAACAAGAAAATTCTTTTTCAGACCCTCATTGCACAGGGCAACAGTGCATATAGGCAACAGTGCATATATATGTTGCAGGGTGCTTTGGCTGTCGCTTTCGCGCTGGTGCCGGTGCCGCTGGCTCCGCTGCAGACAAGCGCCAGAGCGCCGCCGCTCGTTGCCAAGGAGCAACAACCACAGGGCGACGGCCTGGGCGGGGCCGTCAGCGCAAGCTTGAATGAGCTCTTCTCCAGCTTTTTCAAGCCCGACGAGGAGAAGCAGGCGGAGATAGACCGCGCGTACGCCGAGCAGCTGGAGGTGGCGGCGCGCCGGAAGAATCCCAAGGCGTCCGCTGAGTACATGCGTGCCACCGAGAAGAGGCGCCGCGAGTCCTCAGCGGCGTTTGCGGACAAGTTCGCGTGGCAGCGGGGCAAGGAGGACCCGTTGGTGGAGTGGAAGAAGCGCCAGAAGGAAGGAAAGCTGAATCCGCTGGGATACGAGGACGAGCCCAAGGGCGGCATCCCGATGCCCATGGCCTCTTTCGGCGTCGGCGGTGAGTTTGGTGTTGGTGGCAAGTATGATAACGGCGAGCGCTTCGACCTGCGGCTGCCGTACGCTGAGCAGGGCTGGGTGGAGGGTGAGGATGACGAGCAGGCGCCAGGCTTCTTTGAGAACCTGCTTTCGGGAGGCAAGCTCCAGCGCGCTTACGACGAGATGATGCGGCAGAAGCGCGAGAGATGAGAGACGAGCGTGAGACTGAGAGCCGCGGCGCGCGCCCCAGAGGAGCCGAGTACTCAGCCCTCTAGCGCCCTGGTTCCGAATCCGGAATATGTGACACTCAAGTTGGCCGTGTTCGCAACATGTAGAGTTACTTTTGTACGACTACCACGTGAGAAGAAGAGCGCATTTTAATATAACACACACGTACTCGTACACACACTCCCTGTCTGGGATCGGTGCGAGAGTGTGGAGAGATCCGACGCGGGCGCCCCCCGGGGGCGGGGCGGCGGGGCGCCGCAAAGCGCAATCGCATACACCCCCACTGAGCACTGAACAACGCCGACTCTCGCCGCAAACGCTCCTACCTTCATCGCGGTGGCGTCGCCCGCGGCGCAAAGCCGACCCGCATCGCCGTCACGCGCGTGATGAAGTCCTCGTGGGAGAGCAGCTCCTACAGCCAAACATCCCCCCCGCTCCTTCGCCTGCGTGTGCAGCCTTCCTTCGATTCAGAGAGCGTGCGCGCCAACGGCACGTCGTCGTCGCCGCCCGCGCCGCCACTGGCTGCGTACGCCCGGAGCGCCGCCTGCACCTCTGCGAAATCGAGGTCGCCGCTCGCGTCGCTGTCCCACGTGTCGAATGTCGCGTCGTGCTCCTCCTCGCTGCCCGGCAAGTCGAGCACCTGCGGGGGGGAGCGGGTCTCGATATCGAGGGTCTCGAGGGGTCAAGAGCAGCCGCAGTCGAGGCACCTGCAGCACCAGACGAAACTCCGAGCGATCGAGCCGGCCCGACCCGTCGGCGTCCCAAAAGGAGAAGAGCTGCCGAATCCGCTGCTCGACCTCGCTCTCCAGCTCGTGCTGCCTGCGCACGCTCGCGGCGTCCGCCGCCGCCACCGCGTCCCGCCGCCTGGCCCAGCCCTTCTGGACGGACCAAGTGCGCCGCCGGTCGTCGAGCCTACTCAGCACACAGCCGTGGCCTGGGCGCCCGAGTTCTTGCTGCAACAAGTCGTCTCAGGCGTGCAAAGCCCGCCGAACGCCGAGCCGCAGCACGCGCTGCTGCAGCCGGTCCGCCTCGTTGTAGTGCCTTTTCAGCCGCGCCTGCACGCGCCTCGCGATGAGTCGCTCGACGGTCGCCGCGTCAAAGTCCGCCGGGATTCGACCGAACGGTTTGTACACCGGGACTTTGGACGCACGCGGGCGCTTGGCCCTCGCGCCTCGCTCAGCCCGCTCTGCTCGGACAGCCGCGGCTCCGCCCGGCTCCTGCTCCTCTGCGAAGAGCTGCCTCTCATCGGCAAGAGCTCGCGCAGAGACGCGAAGCGACACGATCTCCCGAGCTTCGTCCGCCGCGCTAGTGTCACTCGCCTCAACCCGCACCGCTGCCCTGAGCGCGAGAAGGTGGGCAGCAGGGCGGAAGAGAAGAGTTGCAGCGATCAAGCCTCCCCGCATGGTGATTATGATTATGCAGGCTCGGAGCTTGAGCGTAGTGACCGCCTCTACGTTTGCTCCGGCGCCTGCGACGCGTGCCCACTCTTCAAGACGGCAAGACCAGCGCCGAATTGCTGGCAATGCAATGCCCGAGGTGCCCCCCGCGATACACAGGTGGCTGGGTTCCGGCTCCTAGCCGGATGGGGGTAGGTTCTCGAGGTTCTCGAGGTGGATATCCTTTGGCCGCGTTGGGTAGCGAGGATTGGTGTAACCCGAGCCACGGAGGCGTGTTTTCTGGCGGCCGACCGTCAGTGCACGGAGTTGCCACTTCTCCGACTGCCCCGGCTAGTTCCCGAGGTCGTCGGGCGTGACCCCTTCGTCCCCCGAGACCTAGCGCGGGTGGGTTGGAGGGGGCTCGCCCCGTTCCTCCCCATCGGGCCGCGTGAGCGGCCTCGCCTCGCAGATTCGTTTCTCGCGCCTGGGTCAGGCGCGCGGGGCATCCCCCGGGTCGCTCGACCAGCGATCCGTAGAGTGGCCGCTATGCGAGGCCGAGGGAAAGAGCGGGGCCCACGGGGTACGCCTCCGTCCGGCCCCCTCCGAGGGGGGAAGGGAATTGTGGGGTCCCCACGGGCGCCTCAGTTCTTTCGCTGGTCTTGTTTCGCCCAAAAGGGCCCTGCAATAGGTAGGCACCCCGTATTTTCATCTTTTTTCGCTTCGCTGCGCGGCCTGGGGATAGGTAGGTAGGTAGGGCGTTTTGGCGCGAGTCAGGGGGAACAGACCCCCTATCCGGCTAGGAGCCGGAACCCTGAGAAGACGACAAGGAGAAAAGAATTTTACGACAAAACTCCCTCGCACGACACTAGGCACGGGACTGGCGCGCACTGGCACTAACACAGGTACACCACGGGAGCCGCCTAAGCTATGCATAAAGCGACTCCTGCGAGGACGGCAAGGCACTTAGCTCCGTGCACTCGACCGCCCTCGCCGCAGGCAAGCTCATTCACAATCTGCTCTGCGATGGCCGTGTGAAGAACGACTCGAGATACGCTGCTTCTGCAGCCCCAGCCAGCTCTTTGTGGTCCAAGTCACCTCATCGAGGCACTGGGCCCGCGTCAGTTTGTTCTGCAGCACTTTCGCCGCCTTCCAGAGGATCTCGCCGACCCCCTTCCCGAACCCACCGAACGACTCGAACAGCAGCAGCTGCACGTGTCGACGTCCTCGTCCTCCCTGGCGTAGCGATACTCGCCGCCCATAGGAGACGGTATGCGGCGATCGCCGCCCACTACCCTGCCCCCCCCCTAGTATGCCATCGACCCGTCCCCTGCCCCCTCTCGCCCTTGCTCTTCCTCTCCCCCTCCATGCCCTCGCCCCCGTACCCCTCACACCCCCCTCCCCCCCCCTCTCCCTCCCCCTCACCTCCCTCTCCCTCCTCGCAGTAGGGCCCATGCCCCACGACCATGTTCCGGTAGAACGCCTCGGTGTTGCCGAAAGCGACAAAGGCGCCCTTCCGACCGTGCTCCCCGCTGCTGGTGAGGCGGCAGACGACCTTGACATCGCCGGAATAGCGCTTGCCGCCCGTGCCAAGCACGCGTCCACGTCGGGTTGTTTGTTGTAACTATGACCGAGGTGGCCTTTCGGCTCCATTCGCACAGCGGTGCCCCACGCGGCGCGTAGGGCGAGGATGAGGCGCTGAAGAGTACACTTGTGTTTGATGTTGTGGCTCAGTATTGGCTCTGCTGCGGAACGTCATGGGAACGTTGACAGCAGCGTCGCCGAACTCGTCGTGGCACTTCTTGTTTCGAGTCCTCTTGCCCACCGACACGGCCTGGCAAAAGCCACATCGAGGGGGAGACCCAGGCGGCGCTGCACCGAGATCCGCATCGCCCAGGTCTCCATTCGCATGTCATCCCGCATGGGGATGGCGCTGAGGAAGGCGCCGGCGCCATCCTGGCTCACCGCCACGAAGCGGGCCGCCTCCCGCCAGGCCGCGTGCCTCGCCCGCTCCCTGCCCTCGGCACGCGCCTTGCCCCTCTTGCCACGAGGAGCAGACCGCGATCCCGCGGAGCCCTCCTCGGCGAGCTCCATGGCGAGGTCGCGCCAGTTCCTGTTGTGGACCACCGTCGTGAAGCGCTGCTGCGCCTGGTGCAGGAACTCGTGCTTGGACGTGAACTCGGCGAGGGACAGCAGCTCCTTGGCCGGGAGGAGAGTATGCGGCCGGAAGCGCGAGAGGGCTACCCTCGTAGCCGGCTCCGGTGGCCGCGCGGAGGCGCGCAGCTTCTCGCCCTCGTCGGGCTCGTCCCACGGCTCCACCTCGACGTCCGGGGGCCTGCCCATCGTACCGCCAACCAGGTCAAAGTACTCCGCCTTCGTCGTGGCGTCCCACTCCTTCCACTTCGCCGTGATCTTGCCGTGCTCCTCCTTGAGCTTGGAAAAGAAAAACGCGCCGCTCAGTTCGCCGGCCCAGGGCGTGCGGTTACCAACTGCAACCCAAGGTGCTCCCCCCATGCCAGAAAAACACCTTTCGACTTTTTACAAGATAGTAGAAGCGGAAAACCGCATCGCTTTATTGAACACGCAGTCGTCCACGCTGTGGGGGTTGTGTGTGGGTCCTGTGTCTGGGAGGGAGGGAGTGCCACGGAGTGGGGTGCAGGTTGCTCTCACCCACGGCACCGGGCCGGTGCTTGCACTTTGAATGCCGGCGTGGGGCTCCTGCCCGTGTCCCGGGCGTGGAGATGCGAGGGTCGCCCCCCCTTGCCCCCACCACTCTTTGTGTGTGTGGAGACGTTTGGTTTTAATTACCTTACCTTACCTTACCTTATCCCTTCACGACGCGCAGCCTCGACGGCAGCCCCATCTTCCGGAGCGCCTCCTCTCCGAGGCTGGCCACGTCTCTCGCCTGCGGCGCGTCGCGCCACTCGAATCTCTGCTTGTCGCCGCAGGAGGCCCAAAAGGAGCGCCAGTAGAGGCGGAGGCGGCAGCCAGGCGTCGCCTCCATCGCCGCGTGCACCCGCTCCTTGAGCGTCTCAAAGGCGTCCGCCTCGAGGCCGTAGCTGCGCAGCCGCTCCCTCTGAGGCGCAGATGCGGCGGAGTGGAACTCGGCGAAGATGTACGAGACGCTGCCGGAGCAGTGCGGGGGCGCGGCGCGGCGTCAGCCGTCGCCAGGGCGTGGTGTGGTGTGTCGCGTGCCTTGCTGGGGGGGGGGGGGGGGAAGCCTCTTCCCAAGAGCGCCGCTCTTGGAGCGCCCGCCGCCACCACCCAGAGCTGCTGCGAAGCGCCAGGCGCGATGACGGCGTCGCCAGGGCGTCGCCAGGGCGGGGGGCAGGCCGGGGCAAGGGTGGGGGCGAGCCGGGGAAGTGCCTGCAGAGCAGCCCTGGCTCATCGAGCAGCCGTCGCAGCACCCACCACTCCCCGCCCTCGACGTCGAGCCTGTTCACACCTCCAGCTGTGACGAGGCGCCGTTCGCAGCACCCCACTCCCCGCCCTCGACGTCGAGCCGCAGCGCGAGGACGGACGACGCGTTGGCCTGCGGGGGCGGGCGGACGGCCGTTATGGCCTCCGGGCGGGGGACGAGCGCGGCGGCGCTGCCCACCGCGGTGGAGAGCCTCATTAGCCGAGGTACATTCGGGAGATATAGCCGAGAACTCTCCGTTCGGGGACCTGCTCCTTCTCTATCCATCTCCTAGCCAGAGAGAGAGAGAGAGAGAGAGAGAGAGAGAGAGAGAGAGAGAGAGAGAGAGAGAGAGAGAGAGAGAGAGAGAGAGAGAGAGAGAGAGAGAGAGAGAGAGAGAGAGAGAACGAGAGAGAGAGAGGGGTCTCTGCTTTCTTTCGTCCGTGCACCTTGACCACGGCGCGCACAATCTCGTTCAGGTCGTACGAGCGGCCAAGGACCGTGCGGGAGGAGAGCTGGAGCGGCTTGCGCTCGACGTGCACGTCGCGAAAGTCGAGGGAGGCGGCGGTCTCACCCCAGCGGTGCGAGGCGTACCGCCACACCGGCCGCGCCTCCTCCGCGGCCTTTTCGCAACTCGAGCTGTGAAGAGACGCCGCGCACACCCGCAGCGCCGCACCCACAGCTTCGCCGCCGCTGAGGAGAGTGTGTGGCCGCCCGCTGAGAGTCTTGCCCGTGTGCCCGTGTGTCGCTCCTCCGTGACCATCTCTCCATCTCTCCGTCTCGCTAGCGTCGCTTGCACCGTCCGGTTCGACAGCGCGCCGTCGACAAAGCGGACGTCGAAACCGCGCGCTCGGAGCGAGGCCTCCTCCTCGCGCAGCGGCGGTAGCAGCGACGGCGCAGCCTCGAAGGAGCGCACGCAGAAGGAGCGCGGCTCCCGCAGCGGACCCATCGACGCCTCCTTCTCCCCACGGCCCATGCTCGCCCACGCCGCTCGGTGGTTGCGCGGCGGCGCCTGCATCGCACAGCTGAAGAAGCGTCCGTCGGCAAACGCGCCGACCGCCTCGCCCATGTTGGAGCCGCCGTCGATGAATACACGCCCGCACCCTCCGAGCATCAGAGCGCTCAGGTCTGGGACGGGGCTGCGAGCTGGTGGCGGCGGTGGCGAGAGAAGCGGCGGCGGCGGCGGCGGCGGCGGTGGCGGCGGCGGTGGCGGCGGCGGTGAACGAAGCGGTGGCGGTGGCGGCGGTGGCGATGGCGGTGGTGGGCTTACAGCGGGAGGAGGCGGCGGAGAGGGCTTCTGCGCAGCTGCAGCCACCAGAGGCGGGCTAGACTGCTCGAGCGGCACTGGAGCAGCGGGGAACGCGGCGCCGACGACGACTCTGTGTGCATGCCCGTGCCTCGTCACCACGGGCCGCTCAAGCAGATAGAGCAGCAGCGGCGTTACAACCAGGGCGAACAGAGGGGCGCGTTGGACGAGCCTTTGCAAACTGGACTTTGCCATTACGCGCCCAACCGGGATCCGGCAATTTGCCAGACGTTGAAGATGAGCGCGCGCGGCACAGCGCAGGCCAGGTCTACACTGGCCGCGGCACCAGCTCCCGCGGTCTGCACGCTAGGAGTGGTCCGCCCTCGCAATGAATGCGGAATACTATTACGAAAAGTACAACTAGTGCGACACACTAGTCACTCTCGTAATCGCGCCAAGAGCGCGGATACATACACACACTAACAAACAGCAGGCGCGGCTATGAATAGCTGCGCATATACAGATAACGACTGTTCACAGTTGGGAGAGAGAGAGTCGTCTCTAACGCTCCCCCCTAGTTGCATCGGCAACTATCTCGGACGGCTCGCGCGTCTTCGGCGAAGGCGGTGATGTCTCACGCCTTGCCGACGGTCGCGACGAGCTTGCTCCACAGCCGGGCAGCCTGCCCCTGGAGCGTCACAGCAAAGCCGGGGCCGTTGCTGGCGTTGAGCATGTAGTCGCGACAGGTGAAGAACATAGCTCGTGTCGCCTGCGTCTTGGTGAAGACGTCGGCGATCATATAAGCAGTGCCGACGAGGTAGGTTCGAGTCGCCGGGGGGGAGGGGGGGGCCTCCTCGGCCTCCTCGGCCTCCTCGGCCTCCTCGGCCTCCTCGGCCTCCTCGGCAGCCTCGGCTGCTTGGCGCACGCGGCGCGCGAGCCGCGCCGCGCTGCCTTTTTGCTCGCTGCCTCCGTTGTCGGCTCGGCTGTTCCGTCTCCTCGCTCTGGCTCGGGCCGTGGGCGTGCTGCTGCTGCTGCTCGGCACTGTTGTCGCCATTTTCAATCTCTCTCTCTCTGCTCTCTCTCTCTCTCTCTCTCTCTCTCTCTCTCTCTCTCTCTCTCTCTGTCTCTGTCTCTCTCTCTCAGGTCTCTCTCTCTCTCTCTCCCTCTCCCTCTCTCTCTCTCTCTCTCTCTCTCTCTCTCTCTCTCTCTCTCTCTCTCTCTCCCCTCCCTGTCTTTTCTCTTTCTCTCTTCTTCTTTTTCTTTTTTTTCTTCCCTCTTTCTTCTTCCTCTTCCTCTTTTTTTCTTTCTTTGTCTTTTCTCTCTCCCCTCCCTGTCTCTCTCTCTCTCTCTCTCTCTCTCTCTCTCTCTCTCTCTCGCTCTCTCTCCCCCCCCCCCCCGGGCCAGCTGCACGCACGCTCGGTGACATCTCTTCACCTTCACACTGGTCGAGTCATAGGTGACGCGAGGGCGCTCAATTAATTGATTAATTCACTCATTAATTCCTTAATTGCGTACCGTATTCCGGGTAATCTTAATTATTAATCATCGGGCGGGGCGCGGCGCGGCGGCTGCGCGAGGCGGCGGCGCGGCGCGGCGGCGGGCGGCGCGGAGCGGGGCGGCGCGAACATCTGTCCTGATCGGGCCTCCGGCCTTTGACGCAGAACAATGGTCGCGCCGCCCTCGACTCAAGGGGCTGCCTTCCATCCGCCGCTGCTCGGGCCGGGGGAGGGGGGGAGACCTCCTGTTCCTCGCGGAACGGGAGCAGCCCCCTCCTTGCCCGGTCTGCGAAGCAGGGTGGTGGTCGTGCCATCTTCGCTTCAAAACGACCACGCCGCAATCGTCGCCGGCGCGCGACACGTTCCCGGAGGCCGGACTGTCCTGGTCGAGAGTGTGTGCCGCCAAGGCGGGGCTACTCGGGGACAGTGCCGACGGGACGCGGCTCGAAGGGTGTGGCTCCGCAGCGCGGCTGGCACTCGTCGCAGAGGCCTCACCTTCGAAAAGTCGGGCATGGCTCCACCCGCAACTTTCTCGCTAACACGCGCGCACCGCCGAGCCTGCGGCGGGCGCGCTGCGGCCGCACGTCTACCTTCGTCATAGTGCCACGACGTGCGGCCTAGATTTAGCCCACGCGCCTCTGCTCGCAAACACTCACCCATTGAATTGTCACTGCCTGTGAGTGCGAGATTAGGGCTAGCCGCAGGCAGCTAGCCCGTGAGGAGAGCGTCCATAGACACCTCACTTAGACCCCACACACGGTCTCGTCCGTGCCTCGCCGGCCGGAGAGATTGCTGGAGGTAGAGCAAGCCTGCTCTAGCCTCGCATGTCACTTCATGTCGTCTGTTGTTTGAGTTGTGCCCTTGTTTGTGCCCTTGGCACCGTGGAGTGCTGGGGGGGGCGACAGGGAGGATGTGGCCCTGAGTTGTGTGTACGCCGACTCAGGGTGTGTGGCAGCCCGCTGGCTGTGTGTCTTGTGAGCTTGTTTGTGTCTGTGTGTCGCTCGTGCGTGTCGTCATCATCTGTCCAGCGTCCACCCATACCGCGTTGGTGTCCAGTCCGAGCCTGGCTGTTCTTCACCTTTCTACCTACCTACCTACTCACTCACTCACTCACTCACTCACTCGTCTGCACTGACTCGCGCCAAAACGCCCTACCTACCTACCTATCCCCAGGCCGCGCAGCGAAGCGATAAAGACGAAAATAGGGGGTACCTACCTGTTGCAGGGCCCTCTGGGGCGGTCGAACTCTTTGCAGCTGCACGCCGCACAACTCCGCCCGCGCTTTCCTATGCACGGCGTTCGTGCGTTCCTCTGTGTATCCTTTGCGGCGCGGTGTATGCTCTCTGTGGTGTTCATTTTTAGAGGACATTCGTCCTCCCGACGGGGACCAGCACTACTGACGTAAGCCGTCGTCCACGTTCGGTCCCTCAAGGTCCCTGCTGTCTCCTGATCTCTCTCGTCGTATTACGATAGCCTCTTGCTGCGTGCCACACTGGCACACATGAAGCGCATTGTACATGACGACCATGTGTCTGACGCAACTGGGTCGTTGTATGTGAAATGTGTATAGCCTCCCCTCTCTCGCTGCATGTGGATATGTGCATATACGTTTTGGCGAGCCGCAGGTTCTAAAGTAATAACGTGTCAGTAGAGTGCATGAGCATGTGGATGTGCATTCCCTGATATCTGACGTACTCAAACTCATTAGGTTATGCATGTGCTTCCCGATCGCAGCCAGTGTGTAATGATAGGCCAGCATCGCTCGCGCGTACAGCACAGACATTCGTGCGTGGTTGCCGTCCTCATGCTCCTGCTCAGCCACGTTAGTGAGCGCATTGCGGACACACCTGCGCCGGTTCGCAGCCGCTGCATCCTGGAGCACCGGGCCCTGGAGCCACACCCGTATAAACCTCGGTTCGACCTCGCGGTGCGAACACGTAGCATGCAGAAGCATGTGCAATCGCAGCTTGTCCCGCATGTCGTCGCACCATCCCATCCGTGTACACCGTCGTCCACAATTGAACCGCGTTGCGAAGGCGCTGACAAGTCAGCTCCTCCCTACGAGACATCGGCCTCGGCCCGAGAATCACCGTCACGGCGCTTCGACGTCTCGCCCTTCTCCGACGACTCGTCGTGGACGACGCGGCCGTGCCTCGACCGGCTACACCCACAGCTCCATCCTCGTCACCTCGCTCGCGACGCTCCCTCTCCACCAACGGCCTCAATGTGGTGCTCAGATTCGAATGCAACTGGTCACGCTCGACCGGCTCGCTGATCACCGTCAGGACGGCGACCGAGTGCGGCGCCTCGCCGGCCGCGTCGCTCCCGCCGGCGCCGTCCGTGTCTCCCAACGGAGGCATCGCGTTTCGAACCACAACGGACTGCGCGCTCCGCATTTCGAACCACCAAAACTCGCTGCACCCAGGTGCAGGTGCAGGTGCAGGTGCAACAAGTTTGCGCCCGGCCCTCTAGCGCCGCGCGCTGGCCCCGGCTGCGTCCCCGCGCGGCCTGCCCGACGGCGTGGCGCCCGCCCTCCACCCACCTCCCCGCGCGGGGCCGCTCCGGGGCGACCCGGGCGCCCTCCGACCAAACTGCTCTATTACTATCATATAACAGTACTACTATGGAGCGGACTCGTGCTTTACACAACTCACAAGGAATGTAAAAGACCTTGCGTGCCGCTGGGCCAGTGTGCTGTGACGCGCGCGATCGGCACCCACCCACGTGAACAGAAACATCGCACAAGGGAGGCATCGGCGGAAGAGGGGCGGACTACCGGCCTTCTCGCTTCGCGGCCTGAACGTCGTGCGGCAGTCGGAGGTTTTTAACTGTCGAGGGATTTGCTGCCCTCCTGCACCTCGGCCAAACGGACATCTGAGGTCCACCCGAAGGCCGTAGGGGCGACTTCGGGCCAGCGAGCGGGGCGAGGGCCGAGGTCTCGATCGTCGGCGACCCAGCTAGCAGTGATGGGGAGCATCGTGCTCCGACTGCGTGCCCTGCCGCTCGCCACCGCATGGCGGACGAAGCGTGACGGGGAAGGACCATGTTGGACGAAGCGTGACGGAGAAGAGGGCCCAGGGGCGCCGAGCAGCGGCGCTGTTTGCAGCGTCGGCGGAGTCGGCGGCGGCGGCGGCGGCGGCGTTTCGGCGTATCGCGTTGTTTGCACCGCCGGCGTTGTTGGCGTGGGCGTCGGCGTCGGTGGAGGCGGCACTGGAATTTTGGCTGAAGTCGCAAGTCGAACGGTGTGCAACGGAAGGTTGTCTATTGAAGTCGCCGTTGTCATCTGACAAAGCGAAGCTCGACTGCCGACGCGGACTAGCTCAGGGCGACCCCCGAACGCTCTCTCCATCCAAGACGTTCTCGACCCGTCGTGGTCCGTGAGCCGCCACAAGAAGTGGCAGCGGATGAGGAGGATAAACCAGGCCATCATTATCAAGCCTAGGACACCGATGCCGATGAAATGCGGGATTTGCGGTGCTGGTGGCGTCGAGAACGGCGGCTGTGACGGCGGCGGCGAGGGAGGGGCGGGGGCCAACGAGCGCGGCTGGGCAGGGAAATGTGCTGATGGCACATCCATTCGGAGGAGCGAGGGGGTGGTGCCTTGGCTACTCGAGCCTGCGGCGAGGTAGAGTCGCGCAGGGGCCGACTGCTGCGGAACCCACACAAAGACGTCAAACGAGCACGCCTTGGTGGGTGGGTCTTGCCTGAGCGAGAGGGTGCTGCCTCGCATAGCGACACCTCCACCGAAATTGCCGTTTATTGTGGCACAGGCGTCAGAGGCGAGAGTCACAGCCCACGAGAGGCTGTCCGCCTCAGCAAGCGAGGAGCGGTGAGCGTACTCCATTCGTCTTGCGAACCTGATTTGGATCTGTTCGGGAAGGTCGGGTGCGCACTCCTCGCCGCAGTCTTGGTCCGGAAAAGCTTCCCCGCTGAGCTCGACCTCGCGCTGAGGATCGTGGCTGAGGCCGATCAACAGGAGCTCGTAGACAGTCTGCACTCCTGAAAGAGCCACCTTGACCCATCCACCGCTTTTGGCTTGGCTCCAAGTCTTCACGGTTGCCGTCATGTCAGAGAGCTCGTCGGCGCTCCGGCTGGTATAGTGCTGCATCGCCCAAACCGCCCTCGCGGAGACGTCGTCCTCCCGAGGAGCGCTGTCCGCAGAGCCTGCGCACCGGGCTGCGACTTCTCCCGGCAAGACCGTCTTCACTTGGGCCGGCACCTGCTGTAATGTGTCGTAGGGGGGCTCGGCCAGAATATACCAAAGCATCGCGGCGACGTCGTAAGCGCCGATGGCTCCGTCGTTCGAAGGCAAGCACTCGCCCTGCTCGCTGTCCCCGCAGTCGCGTTTGACTCCGAACCGTGGTCGGTGGTAGCGGGTGGAGTGGTTGCGAGACGCGGCATGGAAATGCCGTGTCTCTGGATCGGAACTGTCCACGAGACGTTGTGCGGTCGTCCCTATGCTCGTGGCGGCGAGTGTTGTCGGGCCGGCCAGGTCGATGCATTCTAGCTGAGGCGCGCTGGAGACGGCACAGGCAAAGCTGCCGCATCCAGCGCGCCAAAGCCGCTCTAGAGCAATGAACTCCGCCACTAAATTGCCATCAGGTTCGAAGACGTGGTCGCCGAAATCTCCAAGCCCCATGAAGTCGAGCGTGCATGGGCGGTTGCGGGCAGACGAGATCCTGTAGTGATCGTGTGCAGGAGGAGCAGTGGTTACTGACGGTGGCGCTCCGCCGGTGCTGTTGGTGTCGCCAGCGGCAACGCTCAGCCGCCGTCCTGGCGGCTGAGTGCGGTCCATCTCTTCCCAGGCGAGTTGGACCTGGGGAGTGTACCAAGCCTCCACGTCGATCACGTTGAAAAAGTAGCCATGCCTGACGCGAACGCCGTAAACTGACGTAGGGTTGAGAGCCTCGCTCTGGCGCCATCCCCCGCTTGATGTATCGCCCAGGTTTTGAGCATTGAGTGCGACACCATTGGGTGTGCTGTACATGTGGAAAGGCGTTCCGCCAAACGCCTCCAAACAGGACGTCGTCGCACTCTTTCGGTGACTGTTGTCAAAGCACCTGCCGGTGATAAACATCACCAAGAATGGTCTTGATATGAAGAGACAGTTGAACCAGGGTTCGCGTCCGCAGCGGCCAGTCCGAACGCTGACGGTACCGGTGCAGTTCTCGCTGCACGAGGACCCAAGCGAGCGCCGAGCGCGACTCGAGACAGCCGCCCCCAGGGTGCCAAAGTCAGGAGGCAACGTCTCAAGCGCCGCCTCGATCACGTCCGAGCCGCCTGCAAAACCCGCGATTCCACGGGCATCTGCGGACGCGATTGCCAGCGCGAGGAGCTTCATGTGCATGGCTGAGGGTTTCTAGGCGACACCTGCGAGGGCAGGAAGGGTGCGATTCACGGAGCGCCGGATGCCGGCGGCGAGCGCGAGGGCCGCACCTCCTGAAGCAATGAGAGCCGATAAGCGAGTCGGTCTTGAGAGTCGGTTCATGTGGACCTCGAGGAGGAGGTCGGGTTTAGTCTACCTGGTAGAGCGGGGAGGAGGCTGAAATAAATAATGACCCTCAGCGGGGCTGGGAAGAGGACCGCCCAAAATCCCTGTGTGGTGGCGGCGTACCGTCCTCCCATCCCTCCCTTGGTTGTCTGTTTTCTTTCTTTATAAGAGGACCGCCGCAAGGTGGATGGAGCGGTTCGTCTGAACCACACGTGTCCCTCCATTCACACTCTCCCAGTCCTCCCTGGTCTAGTGCCCGTGTTCTCCGCCCTGAATGAATCGTGCGTGTGCGAGAGAGTTTTGTTGTAAAATTCTCCGCCCGCCGTGCACCGCCCGCCGTGCTGATTCGGGTCTTGTTCGTCCTTTAGACAATTCACCTCGAGCAAGCAGGGCGGCCCGCCCCCGAGCCCACTCCCCAGCCGGGTGGGGCTTGCACGTGGCAGCGACTCGACTGGTCGCGTCAGCCCTTTGTGAAGCCCAACACGCTATCCCTCCCAGGCCATGCCTGACACGCCCACAACCACAACCTTAACCTTCACGCATTCCGAAGTTCGGGATCTCCTGCAAGGCGCGCTGTTGGAGAGGCTGCTAGCTCTACGCGGCGCACAATGCCAGCCGAGCAGCCCGACACGATCGAGCGCTCCTGCAGGCATGCACGAGGCATACGACACCAAGGAGGCCCTCGGCGCGGGTCACGATCCCCGCCACGGGTCACGAGACCACGGCGCGCAGTGGTATCACGATGCGCGCTGGCGCCCCGTGCCACCGCCGAGCGACGAGGCGTACGGCGCACCCGGCGAGGGTGCCCCCGAATGGGAGCAGTTGCGGCTGCAGAGCCGGTCGCTCCTGACGCCAGCTGCCCTGGGCGGCGGCGTCCGGACGGGCGTCGCGGCCGGCGGCCGTGCCCTCCACACATGCAAGCCCCCGGCGCTACACGAGGTGCGCAAGTACATGTCACGTCGCGGCTCGACGAGCCCACCGCGGCGGACTGCGGGAAGGGAGGCAGACACGGAGGGCGATCTTCCCCCAGACAAGGGAGATCGCTACGTCGACTTGGACGGCACGTCCCACAAGCCCGAGAGACGGGCGGACCGCGCCGAGCTCGCGTGGGCACAGGCGGAGGTCAAGGGCCTCCGTGTGCAGCTCGAAGCTCTTCGGGGCAGGTCGCGAGCGCGAGCCCTCGGGGCCCGCGTCCGAGACCTCGAGCAGGAGACAAGGTATAGGATGCTCTTCGACACGATAGAGAGCGAGACCGAGAGGACCACCATGCACCATCGCCGCCACCCTGGCGGCGGCGGCGCGCGGGCCGCCGCCCGCGCGCCCCCCCGGGGACGTTGGGGACCCCGCCGCAAACCCCGTGCACCCCACCCCCAGCGGGCGAGTCAACCAGCCCCGCGCGGCCGAGCAATCAGCGCCTCCAAGCGCGGCCGCGTGCACCGCCGGTAGCAAGGCTCTACGGCGCGGCGGCCCTCGGTGGCGGCGGTCGGCCCGAAGCCGACCCCGCCGCGCGCCTTCCGCAACCCTCGGGCTTCAATGCCATCCATACGGAAACCTGCCCCGCGACACCCAAGCGCAAAGCAGATGCCCTCCACGAGAGACAGCTCTTTCCTGCGATCGTCGGCACCCGCGAGTTGATATGACTCCGCCACCACACGGCCGAGTAGGACTTGAAGTCGTCGAGGAGAAAAAAGTCTTCGCCGCAGCAGGAGTACAAAAGAATTTTCTCTCCAAAAACTACCTGGGTAGGCACGGGACTGGCGCGCAGTGGCACCACGCCAGTCACCACGACACTAGAGGGGTAGAGGGTGCGCAGCGTCCTAATCTAAAATCTAAGGATTCGGGATTCAGGCATCGCTTCAGTGAGGTCGAAGTGACTTTATGGATGTGTGAGAACGGTACGGGACACGAGGAGTCACGCGGACCGACTCGTCGGTGACTCTGCTGCACGCCGTTTCAGAATTTTTCTCAGCGTGAGCGAGAGACGTGGAAGAGTGCCACCGTCTGGTAGGTGACGGGTCGGCCCGGAGTATCAGAGTAGCCGTCGTGGTCGCGGTGAGCAGCACCGGCCACTCCGGCGCTGCGTCCGCGCCATGGGAGCATGTCCACCGCCACCCGCGGTCGCAGCGCTGCTTGTCGCCCGAAACGCTGCGATGTACCTTTTCGGGCAAACCATCGAGCGCTGCATGTCGATTTCGACGCGACGGCGGACGGGCGCACATGGAGGCATCACGTCTCCATGCGCCCGTCAAGTCGGAGCCAGTCTGCGGCGACCACAGCGCTCAGAAAGGTACATGGCGAGCTATTCAGAGTCAAGCGATTGCGCGAAATCCCACACTGGTGGATTTGGGGGCGCTGCGCACCCCCTAACGACACGGCTCTACGGCTCTACTCGGGGCGGCCGCGCAGGACGAAAGAGCTGGAAGGGGAACCCCACGACGCAAATCATAATCTCCATCCGGACTGCCCGTGCACGTGACATGCACACATGCACAACATGCACGCATCTATGTGAATGCCGCGCACATACATCCCACGGATGCTCCATGTGCGAGCTAGCTCTACTAATCGTCCCGTGTTTGCAGGTTTTGCGTTTGCCGCACGTTTTGCGCACGACATCGCGCAACCGATCAGACCTGCTGCTGCACCGACGACGCCTCGCCTCCAGAGACGTCGCGCGCCTCCGCAGAGCTGCGGCTGCTCATCTTGGCGAACACCCGGCTGAGTCCGCCAAGGCTGCGCTTCGCGAGACTGGTGCTGCCCTCAACGACGCTGCCTGAAGCGAGGAGGCCCGCCCGCGACCGAGCGGGGGTCGCGCCTAGGCTCTTTGCCAGAAGGACGAGCGACACCTGCGGGCAGGGACCCGCCCCTCGTCACGAAACGCTCGATGCGGGGGAGAGCTCGCTGTGTGTGAGAGAGGGGCGCGCGCGCGCGCGCCTTGCGGTGGTGGCCGGGGAAGCAGGATTTTGCCAGGTCCTTGTAGAGTCCGCCGGCGATGAGCTCCTGCGGCGTTGGGGGGGGAGAGGGTTGGGGAGGAGGGGTGGCGGGACAGGCGCCACGTTGAGACATTCGCTCCTGCGGCGTGACTTCGAAAAACCTCGAGAACTGGCAGCCGCCGAGCGCAGGGTCGTTCTCGTGCGCCATGACGATCTTCAGCCTGTCCTGGCGCGCCTGCTTGACCTGCTCGGCCAGCCGCTCGTCGCTGACGAAGCTGTCCTCGTTGAGGTAGAGCAGCATGTGCGTCGCGCTGGCCGGCCGATCATCGGTGGTGCAGATCGTGAGACCGGCGGTCTCACGATCTGGGGCAAAGGCGGCGGCGATCTCATCGGCCAGCGCCAGCGACCCCGCGTTGGCTGGCGAGGCCCAGAGCGTGCACGGTTTGGAAAAGGCGAGCGACTGGCTCTCGAGCTCACCCGACACGCAGAGCGGAAGGGAGGTCCTGTCCAGAAAGTTGGGCGAGCAGAGGAGCACCGCCTAGGTTGGTTCAAGTGGGGTTGGCCGGGAGGTAGAGTGAGAGAACGGAGCTGGTTGTGGCCGGCGGCGCCTCGGCGATGATCTTGAGGGAGATGAGCTGAAACTCATCGATGCGATACCAAATCGTGAGCGGCCAGTCGTTGTCAAAAATGGCCGGCTGCAGGTCCTCGGGGCACTCGTCGCGCAGCGCCTGGAGCGTCCCGCCGCCCTTTTCAGGGTCCGCTTCTTGGACGAGGACGAGCGGCTTGTCCTTCTCGAGCGACGAGCGGACCTCTCGGAGGCAGTTCTGTGGCGCGGGCGAGGCGGCAGTTCTTGGGGCCAGGGTGCGGTAGAGGCGGGGTGGGAGGAAGAGGCGAGCCTTGGAGCGGAAGTAGCCCTGCGAGAGGAAGAAGAGGATGACCTGCGAGCTCTGGATGTACTCCTCCAGCGCCCCGATGTCTTTTAGATCATCTACCTATGAGCACACCGCGGTGCGTCAGGGGGGCTCTTTGTGTAGCTTAAGCAGCGCTGATGAGCATGTGCGCGCGTCGAGAAAGACTTTGATGTCCGGCAGCAGCTGCTCGAGCTCACCCTTGATGACCTTGACGGCGTCTTGACCGGTCGACCTATTCGTTTGGGTGAGGGGCGGGGATCACGCCGGCTGTTTTCGCTCCCTCTTCTCCCTCCATGACTCACCAGATGTGGCTGTTGAAGAGGTGCCACGTGAGGCCCCTCACGATGCTCAGCTCGGGGGGCTGCTTGGTCGAGACGAGTCGGATCGTGGGGATCTTGGCGACGCGGCGGGCGGCGACGATGGCGCCGACGAGGAAGAAGGCGAGCACGACTGCAACGAGGATGATCATCGAGTCGACAATCACATTGAGGCTGCGGAAGCCGAGGACATCGGCGGGATCTGCTCCCTGGTACCGCTCCTGGATGCCGAGGAAGATGGTGCTCCAGTTGGTGCCGAGGAAGAGCAGGAGGAGCACGAGGCTCGTGGCAACAGCTAGCACGTTGTCCTCGACCCGCTTGTACGGCCGCACGACGGCGAGCGCGACGGCGTAGCATGAGCAGATGAGCGTCGCCACCACGAGGCGAACAAAGGCTCGCTCCTCCGGGATCAGCAGCACGAAGCCAGTCAGCACGAGCTTGCGCGCCAGCTCGACCGCCTCCCACCAGTACCAGGTCTTCTTGTACTCCCGGTGGAGGAAGGCGGTGGCCCGCGTCAGAGCATTCGGCGACTTGGCCTGCAGCGGCGTGTAGCAGGCGGCGAGGAGCGACGTGAAGAGGACCAGCGAGCCGACCGGCCAGAGGACGATGAAGCCGGTGGCGAGGGTGATGATGGGTCCGTGATCGTCGGAGCCGCACTCGACGCTCGCGTCCTGCCGCATGTAGGAGACCTGCTCTAGCTCCTCGCCGGGCGGAGAGGTTGTGTAGGCCTATCAGCAGAAACTTACGAGGACTGAGGGGTTTGGTGTTGTGAGCAACGGCAGTCATCAGCTGTGAGAGGGCGCCTGGCACGACCAGGAGCGGAAGATGGAGGCGCTGATGGAGGGCACGAAGCAGAAGACGAGCACGAGGCCGGCCGGCGTGAAGTCGAGGAGGCCGAGGGCCGCCTCCGCGTACCACGGCCTCTCGCGCGGCGCCGGGGCGGCGCGCCAGCGGTAGAGCCGCAGACTTATCCCCGCGATCATTAGCAGGGCGATGAGGGCGACGGGGGAGAGGGCGATGGCGAGGAGTCGCATACCGTAGCCGAGGCACTGCTCCGGCAGGAAAAAGCCAGACCAGTCGACGGAAATCACGTTGGCCAAGTTGTCGGTCCAGCTCGTGTACTTGTCCGGCAGCCGCGCGGAGTAGGTGGAGGAGAGGACGGTGCTGATCTGATAGAAGCCAAACAGGATCTTGACCTTGGCCGTCATTCCGACCCCGACGTAGTACTTGACGGAGCGGTCTGCAAAGCGGAGGATAGAGCCGATGATGCGCTCCTTCCGCCACGGCATGTGGTAGGCCCACGCCGCCAAGCCGCACGCGACGCAGAGGCCGAGGACGAGGCCGGCGATGCGGCCCGCCGCCGCGCCGCGCGGAGCGCATACTTCGCAGGTGTCGCCGTCGACGAGGTGGTGGTCTGGCGCAGCGCAGAGCTGGCACTCGGGTCCTTTGAAGTCCGACGCGCAGTACTCTGAGCCCGCCTCCACCATCCTCCGGCCTCTCGCCACCGGCTCGCTGCCGGCGCATCGCTTCTTGCCGGCATTGGCATTGCCACCAAAGAGGCGGCACTCTGTCAGCACCGCGGAGGAGGGGCTGGCGCGCCAGAAGCCGCGCAGGAGGACGAGGGAAGAAAGGGTGGTGTTGTCCGGGCAGGCAGCGTTCGGCGGGCACGGCTTGCAGTACTCGGTGGGGGAGGTCAAGACGTCCCCTGGGTGGGCCGAGGTGTTCCGCAGATAGTAGTCGTCCATGCAGATAGAGCAGATGGTGCTGCCGCTGACCGAGCTGAGGGGATGCGGACATAGATTGCAGAGGCTTTGGCCAGCGTTGGCGGCGTATTTGCCAGCCACGCACTCGTCGCACGCGACGCTGCCTTGATTCGACGAAGTGCCGGGATCGCAAGACTCGCACTTGGACTGCCCCTCTTTCGCGGCGAAAGTGCCAGGGAAGCACGGCGTCGGCTCGATGCTGCCCGTGGAGCAGGCGCTGCCGGCGGGGCAGGCCGTGCACTCACCCGCGGCGGTGAGGTTTGTTGCGTTCGAGTAGCTGCCAGCCTCGCACGGCAGCGGCGCCGACGCGCCCAGCTCGCAGTAGCTGCCTTTCTTGCACACGAGACAGCCCGTCGCACCCTTATCGTGCTGGTAGGTCCCCCCCTTGCACGGCTCGCACTCGGAGAGGCCGCCCGTGACAGCGAAGCTACCCTTGGCGCACGCCGTCTGCTGCGTGGAGCCGGTGGTGGCGAAGTGGCCCGGTGAGGCGTCGGTGCACTCGCTCGCGGCGGAGAGGTTGGTGGCGCGCGAATAGCTGCCAGCCTCGCACGGCAGCGCCGCCGCCGCGCCAACAGCGCAGTAGCCGCCCGCCTCGCACGACTTGCACGCCGTCTGCGCCTCCTCGTCCTGGTACGTGCCGCCGGAACAGGGCGTGCACTCGCCCTGCCTGGTCTCGTTCGTGTACGACCCCTTGGCGCACGCCGTCTGCTCGGTGGAGCCGGTGGTGGCGAAGTAGCCCGGCGAGGCGTCGGTGCACTCGCTCGCGGCGGTCGCGCCCTGGTAGGATCCCTCGGCGCACAGCTCGCAGACCTCGTTGCGCGTGCCGCTTGCGAAGCTGCCCTTGTCGCACGCCGTCTGCTCCGTGGCGCCCCGCGCGGCGATGTGCCCCGGATCGGCGGGCGTACACTGCGAAGCGGCCGACAAGTTCGTCTTGTCCGAGTAGGAACCGCCCTCGCACGGCAACGGCCGCGACGCGCCCGGCTCGCAGTAGCTGCCCATGTCACACGAAAGGCAGCTGGTCGCGTTCGACTCGCCCTGGTACGTCCCGCCCGCACAGCTGGCGCACTTGGAGAGGCCGGCCGTGGCGGCGAAAGAGCCCGGCGAGCACTCGGAGGGCGGCGCCGCCCCGCCGCCGCACGACGAGCCGGCGGGGCAGGTGAGGCACTCGGGGTCGCCGCTCTGGTCGGTCAGCCTGGCGTACGTGCCAGGCGAGCACTGCGCGTCCAGCTCGCGCGACGACCCCTGCGGGCAAAACTTGCCGGGAGCGCAGCGGACGCAGGCAGCGGCGGCGGGCTCGCTCTGGTAGTAGCCCTGGCCGCACAGCTCGCAGGCCTCGCTGCGCGCCTTGGCGGCGAAGCTACCCTCGCGACACGGCGTCTGCTCTGTGGAGCCGGTGGTGGCAAAGTGGCCCGGCGAGGCGTCGACGCACTGCGAGGCGGCGGTGAGGTCCGACTTGTCCGAGTAGGTACCCGCGTCGCAAGGCAGTGGCGCCGACGCGCCCTTGGCGCAGTACCGTCCCTGCTCGCAGTCGCGGCAGGACGTCGCGCCCGTGTCGTTCTGGTAACGGCCCGCAGGGCAGTCCGTGCACTCACTCAGCCCGGGCTCGCCGCCAAACGTCCCAGCACGGCAGCTCGCGCACGTCTCGCTGCTGTCTGCGCCGGCGGTCGGGCTGGAGGTTCCGGGGGGGCACTGCTGGCAGGCATCTGGTGAGCTGCTGCCCATCTTCTCGTTGTACCTCCCCGCAGGGCAGGGCGTGAAGCCGCCACCGCAGTCATCTGTGACTTCGCAGTACCCACCCGCGGCACACAAATCGCACGACGTCTGCCCGCGCTCCGGCTGGAACTCGCCAGCAGGGCACTGCATGCACGCAGCCTGGCCGGTGAGGTTCTGGTACTCCCCTGCGGCACAGTCGAGGGGCTGGATGGTGCCTGCATTCGGGCAGAAGCGTCCCGCGGGGCAGTCGGTGCAGCCGGTGGCGTTGAGCTGATCGGCGAACGTGCCGGGAGGACACTCGTCGCAGGGACGGTCCGTGCCGGCTGTGGACTGGCTCGTCCCCGGAGAGCAAGGGAGGCACGACTCGGCACTGGCTGCGCCAATCACGGGCATGTAGAAGCCCGGAGCACACGGGAGCGGTTCCGCTGTGCCCTTGGGACAAAAGTGGCCTCGCTTACACGCACCATCGCAGGAGGAGTTGGTGAGGCCGCTCCTGTTCCCATAGTAGCCAGCGGAGCAAAGGTTGCACTCGGGGACGCTGAAGTCGCCCTTAAAGGCACCCTCGGTCTGCATCCAGCTGCCCAAGCGGCAGTCCCAGTCTATCGGCGAGTCGGTCTGTATCGTCTTGTCGTCGCCAGCGGTGTTGCCGGTGAAGGAGGCGTCGCTGATCGAGGAGGGCGTGTTTGAAAGGTACAGCACCGAGCCTGACCCGTCCGCTCTGTTGTCGATGAAGTCGATACCCGCGATGGAGAGGGACTCGCTGCCAAACGCGTAGACGACGCCGCCGTTCCCCTGCGGTTGCGAGGAGAGAGCGGGGTGAGGCAGCCGTGGTCCTCTCTGTCTCTCGCCCCGCTGCCGTGCGGCGCTGCAGGGGTGGCGGCTAGCTCTACGCGGCGCACATCAGCAGAGCAGTCCGACACATCCGAGCCGATTATCGAGACCGCACCGCTGTTAGACGCGTAGACGACGCCGCCGTTCTGCGGTTGCGAGGAGAGAGCGGGGTGAGGCAGCCGTGGCCCTCTCGATCTCTCGCCTCGCTGCCGTGCGGCGCTGCTGGAGTGCGGCTAGCTCTACGCGGCGCACCGAGCCAGCCGAGCAGTCTCTGACCGTCGAGTCGATGATCTCGACGTCGCCTGCGCCGTAAGCGTTCACAACGCCTCCGTAGCTCGTCCTCCCATTGACGAGGGTCAGCCCCCGCAGGGTGAGGCTGCAGCCGCCCTGGAGGAGAAAGAGCCCGGTCTGTTCCTGGCCGTCGAGCGTCGCGCCCTCGCCGCTGCTCGCGACGGTCACCTTGATGCTGGAGACGCAGTTGATCTGGCTGCTCAGCTTGAAGTCTGCACTGGGCGGCAGGTAGATTGCGACGTCGTCGCTAGCCTCCGCGATCAGGGAGCGGAGCTTAGCCTCGCTCGACGCGGCGACATCGAAGCCGGGGAAGACCGGCGGCGTAGAGGGCGGAGGCGGCATGGACGGCGGCAGAGGCGGCAGCGACGGCGGCGGCGGAGAGGACGGAGGGAAAGGGGCGAGGATGAACGTCTCGCTGCCGTAGGATCCGGAGCCGAGCGTGAACGTATAGCCCGCACCCTTCCACAAGTTGCCGTTCCAGCCGTCGCCGTACGAGTCGTTCATGTCGAGCGTGCACTCGCCGGGCGGCGCGGACAGGGTGCCGGTGTAGGAGGCCCCTCCACTGCCGATCAACGCGCCGCTGCACGTCAGGTCCCACGACACCTCGGCCGGGTAGCTGCCGCCACCCACAGTGACCTGGAAGTCGATTGAGCCAGACGTGTAGACTGATGGTGCACATGCCAGCGGGAGTAGCGCGGCGAGAATCAGCAGCCACGCGCCACGCCTCGCCCCCGTCCGGCACCGCACGAGGCGCCCCGAGCTGCTCCTCCGCACCGAGAGCAGCACGCCGCCGCACGCTCCGAGCAGCAAGAACAAGGCGGCCCAAAACTGACAGCGCTGCTGGGTGCGGACAGGCGCGGAAGAGGAGGGTCCGCTCATGAAGGGAAAGTGGAACGGGGAGGGCAGGTCGATGGAGTTAATGTCGACCGGCGGGTTCGCGGGCGGCTTGTCGGTCTTGGAGCGCTCGTCGGTGAGTGCGTGGTGAGGCTCCGCATGCCACGCAACGGGGGCGGCGCAGCGTGGCTGCCGGTCGGCGCACACACGTGAGACGGAGGAGATATCGGACTGGACCGAGTTCGAATCGGAGATCTGAGCGGCACGGACCTCTGCAGGCCATGCCGGCTCCGCGAGAAGAGGGTCGATGGCCCGGCCAAGCTGGAGGAAGAGATCCTTGGTTGTGGCTGGAGAAGCGGTCGCCAATCTGTTCACCCGCCACTCGCCGATGCTAGAGACGGGCGCGCCGAGGCCAGTCTCAACCAGCTTCTCGGGCGTGTTCCCAGCGTCGGCGGACCGCATCTCGGGCGACATGCCGTTCACGGGCAGGACGGTTTCGCGAACGATGATCCCCGATCTGCTGCTGTAGACGGGACCGATAGAGTCGATCTCGGGCTCGCCCTTGCGCTCCATGGTGTTGCGCGAGGCCGGGACGGTCTCCAAGTCGGCCTCGGCCTACACGCCAACAACAGGCACAATCCGGAACCGGATTACAAAGCTCGCACATAGAAACAGCCAGAGGGGCGCTCACCGGCTGCTTCTCGTAAAGGTCCTTGACGGACGCCGGCGGCTCGCCAATTAGGTGCAACGGCTCGCCCACCGCCTCGCCGATCTCGTCCATCAGTGCTTCCCACGAGCGCCCCTCGTCGCGTTCGCCCTGAACAGCGCGCGGGCTGTTAGTCGCGAGCTTGCGGATACTAGCACGCGCGAGCGAGCGCGCACCGGGTGGTTGGCGGGCGCGCTTTCCGACGATACGATGGTTGCAAACGAGCTGGTGTCGTTGCCGCCAACCTCGCAGAATCCGTTGAGCGTGAACGGCGTTGTGACTGCGGGAAGGGAAGTCGGGGACTCGGACCGCTGCGAGGAGAGGAGCGAGGTGGCAGAGTACGAGAAGTGCGCAAACGCGGCTCCGAGGCAGATCAGCGCAAGGATGCCAAAGAGGCGGAGCAAGTTGTAGGACTTTGACCACGGGAACCGGCCGGCGGCAGAGCCCTCGGGCGTGGTATTCGTGGTCGTCTCGACGTCGACCGTCGCGCCCTGAACAAGAGGGCGCGAGACTGGCCGTGTGAGAGCGGCGAGCGAGGGAGGAGGCCGCATAAATGCAGGCGGCGCGCACCGAGTCTGCGGTCGGCGGCGTGGAGCCGCCGGTCACCTTGCCGGTGCCACCGAGGATGCCCTCGTTGCCGTCCATTTTGAGCAGGGCCCCGAACCTGTTGTTGCCGCCGACCGGGGCGATGCTCTTGGTGCGGACGATCGGGGCGGACGCGCCCTTGCGCCCCTTCTTGCGGCGCGGGTTCGACGGGGTGGCCCTGTCGGGGATGCCCTGCGCACGCGCAAGCGGTGGGTGCGTCAATAGTTGAGGCTCTGCGCGTACAACCGCAGCGTGCGAGGCGCTCACCGCCGGGGCGAGCTTCTCCGCTAGCGGAGACTCCTTGCGCTCGATCTTGCGGAGCGGGGAGGGGGTCTTCCACCCGTCGATGACCTGCGCGCGCGTGCCGTGCGGCAGACGAGAGGTCACAGGATCAATGTAAGTGCCCGCCTGTTGGACTCGCGTGTCCCCGCAATACCCGCGTGTCCTTCTGCTGGGAGGTGCTCACCGCCGGGGCGGCCGTCTCCTCTGGAAACTCCTTCCAGTCGGCGTCGCCCTACGCGTCGAACGCGGGATGGGGTCACAGAGTGGGTCGGCAGACGCCGGCGCGCACCAGGCGCTCGCCGCCGTGGCGGCGGGCTTCTTCTCCTCCGGAAATTCCTTGATCGACGGCAGCGGCGCGCCGCCGGCCTTGAGGGCCGTGGCGACCTCGGTGGCCGGCTTGAGCGCCGGGTTCTTGATGGCGCCGGTCTCGTCAACGCAGGCCTCCGCGCCAGACGTTGCCGCAGGGATGTCCTTCTTGAGGGCGCCCTTGACGGCGCCGGTGGGGGCCGTCGGTGGGCCGGTCGGGCGCGTAAACTTGGACCAGAAAACGGCGGGCGGCCCCTGCTCGTGGGCGGCGAACATGGCCTTGGCCTTGTCCGAGTCGACCGCGCCCGCGTCGGGCGCCTTTTCCGCGGCCGGGTCCTTCATCTTGAGGACGTCCTCCGTGCCAGACTTTGCCACGGGGGTGTCCTTGACGCCGCACGCCTGTGGGCGAGGGAAAGTACGCACAGGCTTTCAGAGACGGGAGAGGGATGATACGATCCTGGCGAGCGCACGCGCACCTTCGCTCCGAGGAGCGAAGGCGACACCGACTCGGAGATGACTCCGACCTTCGCGAAGGACTTCATCGGCGAAGACTCGCCCGCGACGTTGCCGCCGCCCGCGTCAATGCCGTCCTTGAGCGGGCTGGGCTCGCTCTCGGGCGGGATGCCGACGGCCTTGGCGCCGGCCGGATCGTCGACGGTGAACGCCTCGGGCACGGCGTCGAGCGAAACGCCCGCAAAGTGGACGCCGGCGAGCGAGCCGGCGGGCTCGCCCTCGGACGGGACGTTGCCAGTGCCGGTGTTGGCGGTGCAGGTGCCGCCGGTGCCGGTGTCGATGCCATCCTTGAGCGAGACGGGCTCGGAGGGGATGCCGACGGCGTTACCTCCGTCAGAGTCGACGACGGCCGTGTTGTCCGCCAGAGACGCCTGTCAGCCACAGAACGCGAGAGGGTCGTCTTGCAGCGAAGGCGCAGCGTTGCGTGCGTTGCAGCGGTGCGCGTGTGCATACCCCCTCCCTCAGCCACTGCAAATTAACGCACACCTGCTTGTCAGCAAGCGGCGGCGGAGGAGAGAGCTTGAGCACGAGCTTGTCACCGGCGGCCGGCACGAGCTCGACTTTGAGCATGTTGATCGAATGAATTCCTGCAGAGAGTCAAGAAGCGGTTGAGGGTGGTGTCCCCGATGGGAGGTGCAGGCCAGCGCTCGAGTGGCCCTCGCGGCTGCGGACACAGAGTCTTGGCACTCTCTAGATGTAGCAGAGATGTGAGGCGGTGCGAGTACCCGCGTAAGAGAGGGAGGGCGGTCGGACGGGTTCGCGCGGGACAAGGGTGTGGAATGGGCAGCAGCGGACGCGTCTCGCGGCCTCCTCCATGGCAGCGGCTGTACCTGCGAGCGGGAGTAGGCAGGCGGTGCGAGGCCGAGGGGGGTACAGCCGCTCGCGCCGCGAGCGAGGGCGCATCGCGTGGTAGGGGTGGTGAGGGGGCGGCGGGTTCCGTGAGCAATAGGCGTCGCGGGGGTCTAGGTGTGCAGCTCGCGGCTGCATAGTCGGGCGCAATGCGGCGCGGCAAGCGCGAGCGGACGAGGAAAGTGCTGGCTTTGCCTCACGACTCGCTCTCTCCGCGTAGAGCGTTCACGCAGAGAGAGCGGAAGAATTTTAGCCGAAAGATCTTCGAGTCACCGTTCACAGTTGTGCGGTGAATGGCGCGTAACGCCACAGCCCGAGCCCGAAGGGCGAAGGAGAATCCCACCCCTATCCAACAAAAGTATTCCGTAGCACGATCGAGGGGAGATCTTAGAGAGAGAGAGATTTTAGCCTGCTCCCCCCTACCCGGTTGCACTCGTGCGACGTAGCGGGGGTTACCCACGACTACGTTTACGAAAACCTAAGTAGTCCCGCGAGGTGTGAATTTGGCCGCCCAGTTAGCCCCCTTTTCCAGTCAGGGGTTTTTTCGTGGCAAACCTCGTCATCCTGCTGAACAAGCTCCTCTTGTAGCTCGATCGGTCACACCGCCATCGCCGTCGGGGAGAGGGGGGACGACACTGTTTTGGCAGCGTCCAGGGTGCACCTGGATCCTGTACCGTGTTTGTTATGACCCCCCCCCCCCCCCCCAATAAACACACCAGTTAGGGAGGGCGAGAGACGATCGAGGGGTCCCGTACCATGCGGAATCGACCCTATCCAGAGCTCTCCGACACCTCACAGCTCCCAAACGACATCGATCTCGGACCTGCCGCTTTGCAGGCGCCCTCAGGGTGCACCGACGCTCGCCTCCTCCTCTCCTCAGGTCCGAGATCGATGTCGTTTGGGAGCTGTGCCGCGCGCTCCTGTCGCCTCCGCGAGCGCCTCCTCGACCCGCCGCGGGGCCCGGGCAACGGCCTCGAGCCGCGCTGGCGATGCTCGGCCTGCCTTCTGGCACCCTATCGCACGCACTCCCGCCAGCCGCGCGCTCCCGCGCCGTCGTGCGAGCTTCTGGCATCATCCGTGCGAGATGCGGCGTCGCGTAGCGACGGCCACACGCGGATCAGCTCGGTCACCTCGAGCGCGCTCGCTGCCTGCGCGCCAGGCAGCGCTCCTCTCTCGTCGTCGCGGCGACGAGTCGGGACGACGCCGTCGCTCGAGGCGCGTGGCCGGCGGCGCTCCTCTAGGCGGCGCTCCCTCGAGGCGCCGGGCCGACGTGACTGGGGCAGCTGCGGCGCACGACGGTGCCCAATGGCCGCCTCCGCCGTCCCCGGCTCGGCCTGTGGATCAGGGCAGCGGTCTCTCAGCTGTGCCGTCTCTGAACAGACACACTCGAGGACACGCGCGCGCAACGCTCACAGCTGCGTGTGCCGGCAGCGGTGGTCAGTCTAAAATGTGTCTTGGTCAGTCTGACGGGCCAAAATATTTGAGGAAACACATTTTGCTGTCCTCACGCACTCACGGCCCGCGCATTGCGGCTCCGCCGAGACCTTGTTGGCAAAGTTTGATCGCACGCGCTCGTTCCCAGATCCCACTAAAAAGTACCAAAATCATCACGGCCCCGTAACACCCCCTCCGCGCGCGGTCAAAGGCTTCCCAGGGCCGGTCTATGGCATGAACCGATAGACACAAGCAAAAACAACCGCACCTCTAAGCTTCTCGGGCACCCCGAGGCCCATACGGCGCCCCGGCGGGCCCCGGCGGAGGTCCGGCGCGGCGCTCCAAATCCGCACTCTTCGCGAGCTTCTACGGGAGTTCACGCGGCCTCTCCGCCTCGTGAGGCACACCCCACACCCACCACGAGTCCTGGGGCCGTGGGCGGACCTTTGGCCGCGGCGTCCGGAGCTTTGGTCGTCGAACATCGGCCCCCAACTAGGCCGTCGAGCGAACGTGTCCGGAAAGGCTCTCGGATGGGTCCGGCAGCGGTCCCATGGACCCAGAATCTCGCCCCGGCCGAGCATTCACGGCTCGGCCCCCGCCCCTGGTCACCCAGACGTGCCCTTGGACAGCCGTAGGGGCTCGGATGACGACGTTGGCGCCCGCGACGACGCCCTCCCCGACGACGTCGCATCGCGGCAAGAGCCCCCTTTTCCAGTCAGGGGTTTTTTCGTGGCAAACCTCGTCATCCTGCTGAACAAGCTCCTCTTGTAGCTCGATCGGTCACACCGCCATCGCCGTCGGGGAGAGGGGGGACGACACTGCTCTGGCAGCGTGCCAGCGTGCACCTCGATCCTGTACCGTGTTTGTTATGACCCCCCCCGGCGGCGCTGAACGGTGACGCGCATCGCCCAGGACTCCATCTTCATATCATCACGCATGGGGATGGCGTTGAGGAAGGCGCCGGCCCCTGGTTGGCTGACGGCGACAAAACGGATCGCCTCTCGCCAGCATTTGTGGTTATTGCGTCTTCCGACCTTGTTGCCTTTGGAGGGCGCCTTGCGGCCGCCACTGCGAAGCGCCTCGTTGGTAAGCTCCTTGGCAAGGTCGAGCCAGTTAGAGTGGTGCACGCCAGAGGTGTGCCGCCGCTGCGCTTGGTGCAGGCACTCGTGGGTGGACGAGAACTGGGCCAGGGGAAGCAGCTCCGCAGCCGGCGTCAGCCCGTGCGGAAAGAAGCGGAACCTGAAAGAATTCTTAAAATAAAATACAAGCCTCTCTCACAGCACACTGGAAGAAAGAAAACGGACAACCCAAGGGAGGGATGGGAGAACGGCACGCCGCCACCACACAGGGATTTGAAGGAGAGGGGTGTGGTGCGCTAGCCGTCGCCCGCCCTTGGGCGTCCGCCTCTTCCTATCTCTCTTCGCAGTCTCTCGCCGATTCTCGCTGCAACCTTCATGCCAGCCGGTCCCTTGTTCTCGCTGCTTCTTGCGCCTTTCGGCGCAGCTCCGCCCTCCTCGCTGCATATCCTGGCCCCTCGAGTCTATCGAGCTCTCCTCGCGCAAGGACGAGTCTTCTGACGCCCACGGATAAAATTTGCCACCCAGTCATATCATTCCTGAATGCCAAAGGCGGACATGGCCTATCACTCAATTCTTTTTAAAAGCACGTCTTGTCCTTTCGCCTGCGGAAACGACCACTGACCCCTAGATGTCACCCCGGAAGCTCCGACGAGTTGCCACCTCAGTGCAGCTCGGACCTGCGCACCTGCGCATCTTCGCTATGCCGGAGACCCCCAAGGGCAAGGCTGCGGAGACGGACTGGGTGCCCACCCCCCTCCACGAGCGTCCCCCCCCCCGCGCCCGCCCTACGCGCCCGAATCGCCCAAGCACATCGGCCCGCACCCCACAGGGCGACGACTGTGTCACGCCGGCAAGCGAGGCCCCAACGCCGGCCAAGAAGGTGGACAAGGACCCGGTCTTCGGCGACAGCGTCGAAGACGAGGTGCTCTCCCCGCTCCCGGCCGCACACCCCACCCACCGCCCTGACACCGCACCGTTCCATCAGCACACGGTCGAGTGCATCGTGGATCCGAGCAACGGCGGTCTCCGTCGAACCCGGCATGATCAAGACCACACGGGTTCGAAACCCCTCTCGCCCAGCGCCCTCGCGCGCGGGGGTTATCCTGACTCCCCATATCGCTAGGACGAGCTCAACACGAAGCTCTTCAAGGTCCTCGACTCGCACAAAGAGATTCATCCAAAGATGACGCCGTTCGACCGCGCCAAGATGAAGGCTATCATCTTCCAGGGCAGGACGACTGGGCGCGACACCAAGTACGCCAACCCGTACTACGAGGGCACCGAGGGCTGGACCAACGTCCACTACCACCGCAAGCACTTCATCACCACTCCCAAGTACCTCGCCAAGGCGCGCGCGCTTGCCAGCAGCCGCGTCACCAGCCACTGCCTTCCCGCCACCCACAATGAGATATCATGACCTCCCACCCTCTGCTTGCAGCGGCTCGCTGAGGTGGTGAAGGTGGTCCCCGGCTTCAATAAGGAGGTCAAGTTCTACAAGCGGGTCACGCACGACGACGGCGCCACCGAGACGGAGCCAACGACGCTGGACGAGATCATGGAGATGGAGATCACGATGGTGCTCCCCCCCCAGCCTCAGTCGTGGCGGGAGAGCGAGCTGAGCCGCAAGCTCGAGGCCGCGTATGCGGAGGTGGCTGCCGCCAAGCGGCAGCGCACCTAATTCACACTACACACACATCACACACATACACATTCACATTAGAGGGTGTCTACTGCAAATACCTGTACTGTAGTACTCCAAATCACCTCCTTTCAAAGGCCACAACAAAGGTGCTTACAATCTGCACATCGAGGTCTCGCTCAGAATCCCCGACACAAGACAGTTCCGGAATCCCCGACACCGCAAGACGGCGCCGCGCTCGCTGGCGCTCGACGACTGTAGATCGCACGCCGCATACGATGCGGGCACGTTGCATTCACAACGAGGTTCACCCCACTCGCTGTCCTCGCGGCGGTTCCAGCCAGCGGCGGGGCGGCAAGGGCCAAGGCGGGCCCGCCTTCCCGCCTGCGCCAGCCCACCCACGACAAGGAGACGTCAGGGGCGGGGAACCCGCAATTTCTATCGAGCTCTCCTCGCGCAAGGACGAGTCTTCTGACGCCCACGGATAAAATTTGCCACCCAGTCATATCATTCCTGAATGCCAAAGAAAGAAAGAAAGAAAACAGACACGCCAAACGAGGGATGGGACGAGGACAGGGTCCCCACCTGCACGAGCAGGATTTTGGAAGAACGATCAGGGGGACAGGTGGGGCTCTCCTGCTCCTGACAAGGGACACGACAGGCTCGCAGCGCGGTGCGCGGTGGACTCCCACATCCACTGGCGGTCTCATCTCAGTCTAGCGACCTGCCTCCAGCTTGTCGCTGGCAGTCTCTCCTACCACAGGCACACTGACACAGGGGTGGCAGGGGCGGCGGCACGAGTCTCCCACATCCTGAATGCCAGAGGCGGACATGGCCTGTGGCTAAATTCTTTTTTTGCACGACCTGTGCCCAGTGTCGTGCGAGGGAGTTTTGTTCTAAAATTCTTTTTTTGTGGGCCCGCCCAAATGGCTCCAGGTGAAGCGGACGAGGAGGACAAAGACTACTCTCCAAACGAGGAAGAGGAGGCGAGCGAGGAGGAGGAGGAGGAGGAGGAGGAGGAGGAGGAGGAGGAGGAGGAGGAGGAGGAGGAGGAGGAGGAGGAGGAGGAGGACGAGAGCGAAGGCGAGGATGCGGACGACGAGGACGAGGCAGGCGCCGGCTTTGGGGAGGGTGAGGGCGAGGAGGACGCTGACGAGGCCGACGACGACGCCGGCGACACTGACGACGAGGAGGAGGAGGAGGAGGAGGAGGGCGATGAGAGTGAGAGCGGCGAGAGTGAGGCCGGCGAGGGCACTGGCATGATGGACATCCATCTTGCCACCGACATCGCAGAGGGAGGGGAGGAAGAGGAGGAGGAGGAGGACGTCGACTACGACCCTGCAAAAGACCCGTATGCGGTGGCGGACGACGACGCCGACGACGCCGACGACGCCGAGCCTCCTGCCGCGACGACAGCAGGCACTGCCGCCGCCGCCGGTGCGTCTCCGCGCCAGCGCGCTGCGCCGTCGCCTTCGCGGGAGTCGACGCCTGCGCGGAGGACCCGCTCTCGGCTCGGCTCACCGAGCGCGCGGTCGGGCAGCTCACCCGCGCCACCCTCGTCGGCGGCCGCGCGCGCCGGGCGCGCAGGCAGCGGTGGCCGACGCACGCGCAGCGCCGCCGCGTCGCCGCGCCCAGGCGGCGGCGCGACCCCGTTGCGGCGTCCGCCCGCGGCGCTGCGCGACGCGGCGAGCCGGTCTGCGGCGAGCCGGTCTGCGGCGAGCCGGTCTGCGGCGAGCCGGTCTGCGACACCGTCCCGCCGCTCCCGCGACGACGCGCCGCACCCTTCCGACGGCCGACCCTCCGACGGCATTGCCAAGCGCACCCGCGCGCACGTCTCGCTGGAAGCGCAGCAGCTAGAGGACTTGGAGGCGATGCTGGCTTCGGACAGCGACGGCGAGCGCGAGGGCGAGCAGCACGTGGCCAAGCGGCGGCCAGGTCGCGAGGCGGGCGAGGCGGGCGAGGAGGGCGGCGAGTGGAGCCGCTTCCTGGTGCAGATGCGCGAGCAGGGCGACGAGGCGGACGAGGAGGAGGAGGACGAGGATCGCGACTACCTGTACCGCGGCGACGACGGGGCGGTCGATGAGTGGGAGGACGAGCTGGGCGAGGTGTCGGATGAAGAAGTGCAGCAGCTGCTCGGCGACACGGGGGCGACCCGCTCCTCGGCGCGGGCGCGGGGGCGGCGGCCTCCCTCAGCGGCGGCGGCGGGGGCGGCCGGAGGGGCGGATGTGGCTGGGGGGGGCGGCGCGGCCGGCGGCGCGGCCGGCGAGGCGGCCGAGCCGGGCCTCCGCTTCTCGGACGAGCAGGTGCGGCGGCTGCAGATCCAGCTGCACGTGCACACGCAGCTGCTGGCGCAGGTGATGCGCCGCGGGCACACGGCAAGCTCGGCCCTCGTCCCGGACAATCTCGGGGTGATCTCGGCTCATCTCGGGGAGCAGGTGATGCTCCTCGCCCGCGAGGCGCTCGGCAGCGAGCCGCGCTTCCTCAAGGCTTGCCACACGCCCCACCCACAACCACCGCCCACAACCACCCTCGCCGCCCAAGGCTTGCCACCGCCCCACCCACCACCACCCTCGCCGCCACCGCCGCCCTCGCCGCCCTCACCGCCACCGCCGCCACCGCCGCTTCCACCTCTTCATCCCCCTGGCCACCCTCGCCGCCGTCGCCCCCGCCACCAGAGCCGCACCCACCTTCACCGCCGCCGGCACCGCCCCCATGCCCGCCCGGCCTCGAAGGTTGCGATGCTTCCGTACGCGATGCTGACGGAGCTATGCGCCTACTGCGACATCTCCCTCGCCTACCTGCAGCTGCGGGCCCGGCCGACGTACGCGACACTCCTCGCGCCCGCGCTGCCGGACGAGGCACACCGCGACGCGCCCACGCCCGCCGAGTCGCCGCACTCGGTCTTTTCGGTGCCCGGGATGCACCTTCTGCCGCCGCTGCTCCTTGGCGACTCGCTCGGCCTCAAGCGGGTCTACGACGCGGGCTCGGCGCGCGCGCGCGAGGAGATGGTGAAGAAGGGGCTGCGAGCCGCGGACGGCGGCGACTTCCGGCTCGCCGAGGAGCTGCGCAGGCTGGAGCCGCACCCGACCCGCGGGTACGACATGTCCAGGACACGTCCACGACATGTCCACGACGTGTCCCGCAGGCTGGAGCCGCACCTGAACCGCGCGTACCTGCCGGTGCGCGAGTCGAGCACGAGCCGCTCGACCCTGTGCCCCGCCGAGGTGCTCGCCACCAGCCGCCCCGCCCCCGCCGCCGCAGCCCCCGTCGCCGCCGCCCTCACCGCCGCCCCT